TGAAAAAAAGGTAATTGCTATAGAACACAATTCATATTAAATTTGTTAATAAATTATATGCTTAAAATACTGTTTACCTTTCCTTCATATAAAGACATTTGAAAGTTATAAATGATACTTAAAAGCCACTAAGTTAAATAGAAAACCTACTTAACCTACCTATATCAAGCTACATCAAAAGTGTGTCAATGAATAAAAATATACCATGCGTGCAATACCTGTCTATAAGATCAGTCTGAAGAGTTTCATCATGATCCAAAAATAATCTTGCATCTAGATCTTTGTTTTTAAGATAAATTTCTTCATATCGTTTAGAGAGACTTTCAACCTCAAAAGAAAAAACACTGATGATTACCCTTTTCATGTCATTACATCTCTCAGCACACAGAAGCACAGATTTCACTGAAGAATTAAATGTACAATATACATTGAATTTTACAATATATACTGAGTTCACATGCAATATAAATAAGGCCCATCTAAAAGTAAAGTACAGAAAATTGCAAAATTTTTTCAACTCTGATTTTAGGTCTATTTTATATATGTATCCCATTTATTAGAATTTTATGTAGACAAGGTTCACCAATGCCTCAAAACAATACTTAATATGGATAAAATAATAGATATACGAGTAAGATAAAATATTATTATAACCACTCAATTGCCAAGATTCTCCAAATACCCCACATTACATTTATCAGTATAAAATATTTTTTTCAAACTTTGTAGCAACTCCTCTTGATTATATATTCTGCCAATCTTTTCTAAACCCTATGGTTCACTCCAGCTCCCTCCAGTTAAGTATCTTCGGCAAGAGAATTAGCTTAATTAATTAGTCCAATTAACATACTTGTACAATTTATTCCCAGTCTTAGACACTTTTTCAATTGACAGAATCTGTAAATTTTTTATCATTTCTGATCCATAATTTTCTAATCATACTTTAAAACCAATGCCCAATAAACAACTATTGGCATGATTTCTGCTCTAACTTTTAAAAGTGATTTCAACCTGAGACAACTAAAATTGCATTCTAAAAGGAATGGAGGAAAAATCCAATTAAATGTAAACTTTTTGTTAGTCTGCAGAAGAGTAGTAGAACAGTCATTCATGCTTGATCAAGTTTAATCATTGTTCTTGCCCTAAGGTAGTGAGGCACTAATTATCAATCATCTGTTGATTGGCAGTTACATGGGAAATACTAGGGAAAATGTAAAGTTTCTCTTAAGATTTCTATTAAAACTGTAATCTTTTTTAAGGAAAAAAGATTACTAAGATTACTACAAGTGTCTAAGATTCTTTAGAGTTGTGAACAACATATTTTTTGGTACCTAAGGTGGCAACACGACTCATTAATACAACATTCTTGCCTCTGCAGTACCGTATCTTACCACTCTTCTACCCTGTATCCCAACTTGGAGCTAACTGAACAGGCCATACTATCACATATTACTATGCCTTTGAATCTACAATGTCCAACACCTGGAAATGCCATCTCTCGTAAGACTTACTCAGCTCAGAAGTCATATCACCTCGAAACTATTAAATATTTTCCATGAAACCTACCTGCCTCGGTTTGGATTAGGCAGCCCTCCTCTGAGATACCACAAAACCCTGTGCATACCTCTATCAGACTCTTGTAGACTTCTGTAATGTGCTATTTCTTTGTCTGCCTCTTCCACTAGCATCTTAAGTGACTTAAGACAGTGACTTAGAGTTAAATCTCTGTATCCATGCACAATGTCTGGCACATATTAAGCACTCAAAAAATATTTGTTGAATTAATAAATTAATTAATTCAAGAACTAGCTAACAATTCAGGTCACAGAATCAGCAGTCTAGCAATTTGATTTCATGCCTGCGGGTCTTGGTAACTAATACAAGGTTCTTCTAAAACATTGCTTTTGTTTTTAATCTTTTGTCATGGCATCCTTTTCTCCACATATTCCCCCTTACCACCTAAAGGTCTCAGTTGTTCTGTCCTCAATGAAAACACATTTGTGGCAAAATGTGAAACAAAACAGACGGCTGGTGCATCACTAAAGTAAAACATTTCTACGATATGGTCTCAGTCATTTCAACCAAATTTATTTTCAATTAAGTAGTTTTTAAAAATGCTCAAAAGAGGTGTTCTACAATACAGTAATACCAATAATGTTGATGGCACTAATCATGCATTCTATGATTAAGGATGCATACTAAAGTAAATTAGAATCAAATATGATTGTGTATATTTAGATATTTAGTGGCATTTAGAAATTCAAAAGCCTGCACTTTAGTTTTTGAAAAATTTCTGTACAAATCAATTTCTAGTATAAATCACAAAATGATGCTTGTTTATACATTTACATACATATTCAGAAGGTTTTTTTGTTACTATAAAGTTGGTTTCAACACACTTCCCCTTAGCTAGTTTATTTTCCTTGGGCAAAAAAAATTTGATACATAGTAAATTGAT